GTATCTCTTGAGCATTTTAAACAGAAGATATTAAAGTTGGACATGTTTTAAATTAGCAGGTTAAAATAACTTCCATCCAAGAGTTTTAAAAGAGCTTTCTTTTAACCATAATGCTGCTATTCAATAAGTCTTGGAGCACTAGAGAAGTTCCAGGAGACTGGAAGAAAGCTAATGTGCCAATTTTTAAAAAGGGTAATTTGGGTTATTTGGAAAATTATAGACCTGTCATCTGACATTGATCCCAGGCAAGATACTGGAGCGGCAGATATGGGACAATAGGTGCTGAAATTGCTGCTGTATTCTCTGGCATGAAAGTGATTTCCATCATATACAGGGTTTATACTTTGGTTCAATGGTTCTCAGCACTCCTGTTATATAAATTATTCCAGCACTTCTGCTTGGGACTCTGTTAATAAAAATTAAAGAAGACACAGGTAATTAATTCAAGTTAACTTGTGTTTATTGAGACCAGATCCTATCAAATTACCTTGCAATAGAAATAAAAGTAATAGTGTTGACGTAATATACCTAGACATCTGTAAGGTATTTTACATGGTACCATGTAAAATTTTTATTAGTATACTAGATCAATGTAAAATTAATGTGACAGACAGTCAGTGAATTAAAATCTGAGTAAAAGATAGGCCTTAAACTGTAATTGTAATGGGAAATTGTCATCAAGTATGTGTGTTTGCAGTGGGATTCCTCTGAGAGAGATTCTTGGCCTTACACTATTTTAACATTTTTATCAGTGACCTGGAAGAAAACATAAAATAATCACTAATTAATTTGCTGATAACACAAACATTTCGGTAGTGGTAATTAATTAAGGGGCAGGTCTCTGATTCAGGGGAGTCTGGCTCACTTGGTAAAATGGACAGAAGGAAACAATGTGTGTTCTAATACAAATGAATGTCAGTGTACATATCTAGGAACAAAAAAAATAGACCATAGATACAGGATGGGGGACTTTATCCTGGTAAACAGTAACTGAGAAATATTGTGGTAGGTAATCAGCTGAACATGGTCTCCCAGTGTGATGCTATAGCCAAAGAAGAGGATCCTGGAATGCATACACAGAGAAATCGCAAGCAGGAGTAGCAAAGTTAACTTCATATTTGGTACTGGTGGTTGAAATATTGTGCCTAGTTTTGGTGCCCACAAGTCAAAAAGGATGTTGATAAATTGAAAAGGGTTCCGAGAAGAGCAACAAGAAAAAAAAATTAGAAAACCTATCTTATAGTGATAGACTCAAGTTGTTCAATCTAAAAAAGACAATTAAGGGGTGATTTGATTACTGTCTACAAAGTATTTATATCAGGAACAAAATACTTAATCAAATAGATAAAAGCATAACATGCTCCAATGGCTGTAAGTTGAATCTAGACCAAATCAGACTGGAAATTAGGTAAATTTCTTTAAATGGTAAGAATAATTATCCATTGGAACAGTTTACAAAAGGGTCCTGGTGGATTCTCCATCACTGACAATTTTTAAATAAAGATTAGATGTTTCTCTAAAATGGGAGTGGGGAACCTCTGCGGGCCACATGCAGTCCATGAGAGTTAGCTTTTAGTAGGCTGCCAGATGCTTTGTTTACCTGCGTGTCTGCAGGCATGGCTGCTCGCAGCCCCCAGTGGCCTCTCTTTGTCATTCCCAGCCAATGAGAACTGTGTGTGAAACAGTGGCCCAGCCTATGCCACTTCCTGTGGGAAAATTCTATGGTATGAACAAAATTCTATGATATGAACAAAATATCAGCCTAAATGACCATAATGCTTCCTTCCAGCCTTGGAACATTTAAATATGTCGATGAGCAGAGGTAAAGCAAGAAAAAAACAGTGGGCTTTGGTGCTTGGCTGCAACTGCTCCCAACCAGGTTCCCAGGGCTCACATGCAGGCTGCCTTGCTAAGAAGCAGGCAGCCAGGCAGGTGTAAGGGGCTGGCTGAGGGTGTATGACCCTTGTCCATGGCAGCTCCAGCCTCTAGCCCCCCACTCCCCGTGTGCCGTTCAGGAAGGGTCAGGGAAGTGCAGCTGCATGTACCTGGAACTCTGTTGCTCATCCTTTTCCCCTGGCTATTA